AATCAACAGTTGAAGAATTAAAGATGTTCCTAGAGGTGGATTCGTTAGAGGAGATAAAGCAAAAGTTGGATAATTCTATATGGTTATGACTCTCCGGGCTATGAATTCAGAATTTGATCATGTTAGAGATCAAATTTTAACTGGACAAGAAGTTCCTTCTATGGAAAGTTTGACTACAAGACTGCTTCGTGTTCTAACTCTCAAAGTAAAAAATAATCAAGAACTTGTTGAATCTTTTGCTACGATTTCTACTCGTGGAAGAGGAAGTCGCAGCACTAGAGGAGGACGTGGAAGTAGAGGACGTCCTCAGTGCACTTATTGCAAAAGAATGGGTCATACCCTGGAAAATTGCTACTCTTTGCACGATTTTCCTGACAAAACTGTCAATTTTTCCACATCTCAAATGGTTGAACCCAAGTTCTCTCACGAAGAATATCAAGAATATTTGCGGTTGAAATCCAGTAATCTAACCCAGTCATCAACAACCCCAAATTCATCAACAACTTGCATTTCACAATCTATGGAAAATCAAAATCCATGGATTATTGACTCAGGTGCTTTTGATCACATGTCTGGTAATACCTCTTTGTTCTCTTCTCTCTCATTTCCTAAAACTCCTCATCTCATAACCTTAGCCAACAGATCTAAAGTAGCCTCTAAAGGAACTGGTCAAGTCTCCATTTCTCCGTCTTTAAACTTAAAATTTGTTCTTTTTGTTCCTTCATGTCCCTTCAGTCTCATTTCCCTAAGTCAATTAACCAAATTATTGAATTGTTCAGTAACTTTTAATGCCAACTCTTTTGTTATACAGGAGCGTGGTACGGGTCGACAGATTGGCGAAGGACATGAATCTGGAGGCTTATACTACCTTGTGACTAAATCATATGTATCTTGTGTTGCATCCTTGTCTCCAAAACTATTACATGAACGTTTAGGGCACCCTCACTTGTTAAGATTAAAAAAAATTATTCCTGAACTTCAGACTCTTCAAGATTTTGAATGTGAATCAGGTCAACTAGGGAAACATACTAGGTCCTCTTTTCCTAAACGTTCTGAATCTAGATGTGACTCTGTCTTCTCTTTTGTTCATTCTGATATTTAGGGTCCTAGTCATGTCTCATCCTTTGGCTATAGATATTTTGTTACCTTCATTGATGAGTTTTCTAGGTGTACTTGGATTTATCTAATGAAAGACCGTTCTGAATTACTACCTATCTTTAAGTCTTTCCTTAACGAAATCAAAAATCAATTTGGAAAAGTAATCAAAGTTTTACGAAGTGATAATGCCAAAGAATATTTTTCTACTGATTTCTCCACTCTCTTAAGTTCCCAAAGCATTTTACACCAATCTACTTGTCCTCACACACCACAACAAAATGGTATAGCAAAACGAAAAAATAGACATTTGGTTGAAACTACTCGTACCTTATTACTTGGTGTAAACATGCATGTTCATTATTGGGGAGATGCTATTCTTACTGCATGTTTGCTCATTAACAGAATGTCATCTTCTTCTCTTGACAATAAAGTTCCACACTCTATTCTATTGCCAAAGGAGCCACTCTTTCATGTTTCTCCTCGTGTATTTGGTTGTGTATGTTTTGTTCATGATATGTCTCCAGGTTTAGATAAACTATCAGCTAGAGCCATCAAATGTGTCTTCTTGAGATATTCTCGTTTTCAAAAAGGATATCGATGTTATTCTCCTGAAACCAAGAGGTACTACATGTCTGCTAATGTCACTTTTTTTTAATCAACTCCCTTCTTTTCTTCTTCTATGCAGGATATTAGTTCCGTCCAAAATATCCTACCTATACCTTTAGTGGAGCCATTTGTACCTCCTCCTCCTGACACCAAACATTCCACACAAAATACACCGGAATCCTCATTACTGCCTTTTATTACCTATCAACACAGGAGCCAAATGATCAGTCTCATGTCCCAAGATGAGTCTTCCTCAGCATATCCTTCTCAATCATCCCCTGATATCACGATTCCTGATAATGATGACTCAAGTTGGCCTATTGCCATTCGCAAAGGTACTCGCTTTACTCGTAATCTACATCCCATTTATAATTTTCTTAGCTACCATAGATTGTCTCCTTCCTATTTTTGTTTTGTCTCTTCTGTATCCACTATTAAAATGTGAAAGAGGCACTTGATCATCTTGGATGACGACAAACCATGATTGATGAAATGCAGGCTCTTGAGCACAATAGTACATGGAACTTAGTTCCTCTTCCACCTGGGAAGAAGACTGTTAGTTGTCGTTGGGTCTATGCCATTAAAGTTGGACCAAAAGGTGAAGTTGATCGACTCAAAGCTAGATTAGTAGCAAAAGGCTACACTCAGATCTATGGCCTTGACTATAGTGATACTTTTTCTCCTGTGGCCAAAATGACTACTGTTTGACTTTTCTTTGCTATGGCAGCTATCCGACATTGGCCTCTTCATCAGTTAGACATCAAGAATGCTTTCTTGCATGGTGATCTTGAGGAGAAAATTTTCATGGAGTAACCTCTTGGTTTTGTTGTTCAAGGGGAGTCTAGTTTGGTTTGTAAGTTACATCGTTCTCTCTATGGTCTCAAATAATCTCCACGTGCTTGGTTTGAAAAGTTTAGTCACATTGTTCAAAGTTTTGGACTAAAACGAAGTGAAGCAGATCATTTTATTTTTTATTATACTGCTTCAGGAAAATGTGTTTATTTAATTGTATATGTGGATGATATAGTCATTACAGGGGATGATGTTGATAAAATTTCTCTGCTAAAGAAACATTTATGCAATCACTTCCAAACTAAGGATCTTGGTTGTCTCAAATACTTTCTAGAAATTGAAGTGGCTCAATCAAAAGAAGGAATCATAGTCTCCCAAAGAAAGTATACTTTAGATATCCTGAAAGAAACAGGTAAGATTAATTGTAGACAAGTAGACAGCCCTATGGATCCAAATCAGAAATTAATGGCGGATTAGGGTGAATCACTCTCTGATCCTGAGAGATATAGAAGACTTGTTGGGAAACTCATTTATCTCACCATTACCAGACCTGACCTATCTTTTGTCGTTGGAGTTGTCAGTCAGTTTATGCAAAATCCGCGTACTGATCATTGGAATGTTGTCGTTCACATCCTAAAATATCTTAAAAAGGCTCCAGGACAAGGTCTGTTGTATGAAGATAAAGGGGGTACCCAAATATTTGGGTATTGTGATGCTGATTGGGCTGGATCTCCTATGGACAGACGCTCCACTACAGGATATTGTGTTCTCATTGGAGGCAATATTATTTCTTGGAAAAACAAGAAACAAAATGTAGTGGTCCGGTCTAGTGCTGAAGCTGAATATAGAGTAATGACATCTCTCACTTGTGAACTAGTGTGGGTGAAACAATTCCTTCAAGAACTGAAATTTTGTGAGATCTAACCGATGAAGATGTATTGTGACAATCAAGCAGCTCTCCACATTGCCTCTAATCCGGTGTTCCATGAAAGGACCAAACATATAAGGTTTGATTGTCATTTTATTCGTGAAAAATTGTTATCTAAAGAAATTTGCACTAAATTTGTCGGGTCCGAAGATCAACTTGCAAATATTTTGACAAAGTCTTTAAGAGGACCTCAAATTGAATTTATTTGTTCCAAGCTTGACACATACAATTTGTATGCTCCAGCTTGAGGGGCAGTATTATAATTATTATTAGTTAGTGGTTAGTGGTTAGTAGTTGGTAGTTGGTAGTTGTTGTTTTAAATGTTGTAATCCTATATATATATATATATATATATATATATATATATATATGAGATCATAGAGTGGAGAGGTGCATCCCCACTGAATATAAATCTTCTTTTAACTCTCTTTACTCTCTTAACTCCCGCCATGGATCTTGGGTGTTTCTTCTCCATTAACAGAACCTCTAGGTGAACCATTTTCTAAATGCTTGGACAAATTTTCTACCATGACTTCTATTTGTGAAAAACATGTTTCAAGTTGTTATCGTACTGCATCTCGGTTTTGTTGGTCCACCATCAGCCTCTCCAAAATCTCTCCATTGTGTCATGATTATCAAAATTAGAACGAGTTGTCAACCTTTGTAGAAGCAAAGCACCTGGTCAGTGCTATGATACCAAATTGTTATGAACATAAAAGAACTGGACAGGATTAATAAAATTAGTAGAATTTATAAAGATAATTTTGAGATATTTTTATAACACAAGTTTTCGAGAGTTTGTCTCTCCACAATACAATTTCTTCCTAATTTCCTTCGTGTCTTTCCTAATCTAGATTAATTTTATTTATATTGCTTCTAACAACCGTTTCTAATTGATACAACTTTTCCTAATGGTTGTATCTCTATTCCAAGGGTTATACCCTTGATTCGCATCCCTTGACTTTAGACTCTTTGGATGGGTTGTAACTGTTAGGTGTTTGACATGCTTTGAGTGTTGTGTGCCCTGTTGCTGGTGGTCTAGGATTATTGCTTCTTTTGTTCGTTTCTTGCAGGTGTATATCTTGGTGATAGGTGGTTTATTCTTATCATACATTCTCCCTAAAGATGCTTGGAGACTTTCTAGAGTGGCTTATGGAACACACTCTAAACAGTGGCATACGGCTAGGCTATGCTACGATCAGCCCAATCAATGGGGCTGAGGGTTCACAACAATGGCTAACAATGAATAGGCAGTGAATGCATGAAAAATAAAAAATTGAAAATTGTTGCTAATATATCAATATAAAATTTTATATCTTATTGAAACAAATTTATATCTAAGTACAGAGAACATACCAGTGAGAGAAGTTAAATGAGATTCCAATTGAAAAGGAAAGGGACCTATACTTTGTTGAGATTTCTATCAACCATCCAACAAACAGACCAAGAGCACCAATCACAATCACAAGAATAACATTGGAAGACCTGCACAATTCAGCATAGAAAAATATGAAAAAGACTTTAACACCTTTAATGATTGGGTGGGTGGGTCTAAATTGTCTATCTACTAGTTCATCTACCTGGTTGCTTTTGTTGCAGCCATCAGGGCAGTAAGGATAGCAACAGCTGTATGGATTGCCCTCTTAAATACTTCATCAATGGTAGTCAGATAAAGAAAAGTGCTAATCACAGCCATGAACGATAGCCAGAAGTCCATGAACTGAAATATTGATATATAAAGCCACTGTAAACTCTCAGAAGCATAAACATAGCCATTTTGTATCTCATTGTATTTAGGGTCATCAGTCATAATACGAAATCTAATTTTTTTTCTTCTTGTCTAAGCATGTATACATGTTAAATATGATTGATACCCATGGCTCATGCTTCCACAGCATACTTCATTCCATTAGATAGTCAAATTATAGAGGTCTATTCAAGTTTAGTAATAATACTATGCCAATGGCATAACGTTTCCACTTCCAAAATGGAAAAGTGGATGGGAGCTCTAACCTGTAAGACGTTATAGTTCAATGCACACCAGGTTCCTACATCACACGCATGGTATAGTCCGCTTGAAATCCCACTGGATGTGTATAGAACCCATTCTGCTAATGCCTGCATTAAAAAAATTATTTATGGGTTTTATACAATAAAAAGGGAAACTATGGCTCTACGTCAAAAAAAAAAAAAATCTATACAAGGAAATAAGACCACCTTCTTCCGAAGGGCCCAATAGGCAGGAAGTATGGCTGCAGCATTTGATGCAATGAGAAAAATCGATTGTCGTACATGCCCTGTAAAATTTTTTAATAACTGGAATAAGGAATTTGTACACCATATTAGAAAAATGAACCAATTTTATGAAAATAAGAAATGAGCAATCACCTTGATGAGTTACAATCTCAATGCTACAGTCAAAGCCACCATGGTTTCGATCACAAGAGCAGAAGCTGATGCAAACAAGTAAATAGTTAAAATGCTAAACTCCTTAATGGGTTGGCGATTAGATGCAAACATGAAATCTGAAAACTCCACCACATGACATTCAATTTTTTCCATGTGGCCATGTGTCTCAGTTATTACCAAGGCTTTCATGGTCCTTGTGTAGGAACTTGGGAAAACAAATGAAATGTAAATACAACTGATAAATTAATAACAAGCAAAGGGCATAAGATAAACCTGTAAGATGTCAATCCACTAGCATCAAATGAAAATTTACAGTCTCCATGAGAGGAACATCGTTTTGGGCATCGCTCAAGTGAAATAGACATGATATTTAGCCCTTTCAAGGAATCATTGCTGGTATTAAGATGTCTTAGACCAAAACCCCAAGTTCCTTCTCTAGCATACATAATATAAAAATTCACTTTGACATCAGTCGAGTCATATAGCGTGAAAAACATAGATGGATCGCTTCTCCTTGTGTTGTTAGCATAATAATAGTCCCAGCTATCTAGAGATGGTAATCCACCAAATCTAGCATACACTTCATAACCAATCTTCGTATCTGAGGATAATTGTATGTGAATATTTCCTCCAGCTGCACCACGAGGAATGTCCAAAAGAAAGTAAGTCCAAATGTTATCAGGTTCTCCAATGTATGATGAGTTTTTCAGAAGTGGTTCAATTGGGAAATTGGCAGAATCATAGGATGCTCCACCAACTGGTAAATAATACGACTCAAAAGGGGTTGAACCTCTCCTTACAAAAGTCTGCAACAACCACTCTCATCTCGTCAATAATTTATTCCAGTATGTGAAAATATTTTGAAGCATCAAGAGATAGAACACATCTATACTTAATAGTAGTAAACCAACCAAGAAAAGAAATGCTATTTCAGTATCCTGTTGGGTTCCTTAAAGAAAAAGACCAATAAACAAAAAGTTATAGGGTTTAAAACCCCTTTCTTAAGCATATGCATAAGATAATTAAATCTTAAAGATCTAAAACAGAGGTTTATCCAATTAAAAAAGCTAATAAGTGAACTCCCAGGGGACAAGCACTACATGTATACTAATGTTTTCAATGTGATAGTAATAAGACATTCCAATTTCTGCATAACTGCATGATACATTCATCTCTACTAGAGTACACATTAGATGTTACCAGAGGGGATAATTTGCTAACTGGAAGTTAATATTTATATTTTTATGTTCTTTTAATTTTCTGGATTGCAAGATATCACATTTGATCATATCCTGATTTTACCTATTAAATTTGTAGCCTAAAATGCAGTTTGTAGTACCAAGTAACTAACACAATTTTTAGAGGCTATTTGATCATTTGTTATAAAGAAAGAACTACAAGGGACAACATCATGCGAAGAATTAGATTACTACCTGAAGAAAGTAGCTATCCATTGTACAATTCGGTCCAGCTTTCCCAAGTGGACATTGAAGCACTTGAGATTCCACTGAATAGCAAACTCTTACATTGTTAACCTGAGTGTTTGTAAGATTGACTGGTACTATACTAATATACCAACGACCAATTAATGGTGAATGAATAACCAATCGGCGTTTCGCTATATCAATGGAATAATCATTAGAAGTCACAGAAGGCATTGCACCGTGGCGGACAAAACACATTAAACTAATATCATTTGATGGAGTAACATTGAATCTGATATTTGTTGCAGTAATGATAATTTCTTCTGCCACATTCATTATATCCATGGAGAAGAAGGTTGGCACACCTTCAGGAACACAAAAAGCTTCAGAATTACTTTTGCAGGTCACCAAATTTTCTAACATTGACTTGTTCACTTTAGCTTCCAAAGCATTAGATACATCAGATGCTATGCATGAAAGTGGATAAACTGAACTGTTACACAAATCCCCCCTCATCATTGAATTTGTGCATGCTTCCACACTTATATTGGCAATAAAGGAATATGATGGACCGCGGATAATCTGCTGAGACAGAGAAGTAATAGTTTATCCATCCACATGTGGTTAATGCATCAAGACCTTTGCTAAGAGAGATCGATGTGTCAAATATCAATAAGTTAAGGGATTCTATTTTAGAGTGGAACAAGTACAGAAATCCGTATTATCAATATTAGAGCTAGCATCCAATGACACTGAACACCCAATGTGTATTACACCATTTCTGGAAATAGCATCTAACTCTCAGCCTTAAAACTCACTTTCTAAGTTTTTGAAATTAGAATCTTTCACTTGCTTTGATAGAAAGTGGGTTAGTATATAGGAAGTTATGTGTTATACAGACTTACTGAAAATCGTTCATGTCAAAGACAAAAATAAATTTGATTCAAATGCCAAGCCCCTTATGAAAAAAGGCTGAGTATAAGCCCACTTAGAAGCATGAAAATTATCTTATCTCAAAGAAAGACTTAATGAGAAGAGAAACCATTGGCTGAAAATTTTATCACAATGACAGTCAAAATAATAATCACAATATCTTCCTGTGGCAAACAATAGTTTAAAATTTTAAGCATTATTTGCAGAAAACTTCAATTAATCATGGATTGAATATTGTTATTTTAGAATATTCAGATCACAAAATAATTGATTAAAACTTAATATGTTGTCAACTGAAATTACAAAAGCAACAAATGTAACTCACCACCAATATTGTGATTAAAAAACAAAAAAAAAAAAGCAATTTTATTTAGTCATGCACAGTATTGCGTAAAGATAGGAACTTTGCCAATATTATATCAATGTATTTGAAAAACTTCGTGCAAAGGATAACAAACTTTTCCGAAAGTAATAAAACATGAATTTAAAATTTCTTTTGGATGGAAGTTACGAATCACAATAAACGTACCATCTTTGATTGTGTCCTTGTGGGTCCAATGCCATTGAAAAGACCAATGAACCAAACACCTGGAGATATCTGAACAATAATTTGTTATGTTTACTCCATGCAATATTATAAAACAACAAAACAAATTTCACTAGTGAACTAACCCTTCTTAACTAATAATAAGGTGTAAGAGATATAAAACTAATCATGTGGCATCACCTAATAACCATGTTACAAGGTAGAGTGGACGAGTACATAGTCTGCATTTCAAGCCCAAGGGGGCACTAGAGGGGACATGTCAAACATATAAAGCCAAATCATGTTAACAAACAGCTTAAACTTTTAGCAGATGGTCCTTGACAATAGGAATTTCAATTTTAAGGAAGATATATCTATGTTAACAAAGCAAAGGGAGACACTGAGCAATTAAAAATAGTGCTTCACGAGAAAACGACCTATAACAATACCTGATAGTTTGTCAATTTCATAGTGATGTTTTTCTGCATTGGAAAGCACTGCTCCACATCTAGACCATTTACTCCTAGAGAAATCGAGGAACAGAAGTATTTATATTAGGGCAATGGCACTAGAAGGTTCTAAAAAGATACTGCCTCTTCTCCCTTGTCAAGAAAGGAGAACAAAAATGAGAGAGAGAACAAGTGAAAGGGGAGAGAGAACTGAAATCTGTTGTCTTCCTTTTCCTGTCTCTCCAATTGAATAATGACAATTCAACAAGAACAATCCTCTCTTAAATGGAAATATCTTCTCTCTTGGTAGTTTTTTTTTTTAATGAGTCATCCAAATTCCATTGGAAGTAAGGGACAGGAAAGGAAAGGAGATACAAGATTTTAATCTCTAGATTAGTAATTGCAAAGTGATTCAAAGCGAAGCACAACAGGTAACAAAGAAACATTACACATTCATCAGTTCAGCACCATCCATTACTAAAGAAATCATCATATTAGAGCATGTAAATTAATGGAAGATGTGGAATAACTAAACATGCACAGTTGAGTAAAAACAAGTACCTGCTTCTTTTGAAATTATGACACTAATTTAATAAATGGTGGGAACTTGGTAGAGCTCCAACATTTCAATCATGTTACAGATTATAGGGTAATACTTAAGTGCAATTTCTGAACCTTTCACACGGTGAAATTGGAACAACTTCTTAAAGAGAAATTTAAGAAAATTTATGTTCTTGAACTTCAATTAAGAAAAACAGTATATTTAACTTTTGTTGAATGCAGTTAGGTGAGTCCCCTACCAAAGGTGGCTGAATCTTTCATAGATATGTTTAAGGCGTCCGGCAGTGGAGGACTTCCATCTCTAAAGCATATTATTGGCAATGTGTGAGTTGGAACCCTTTCAATTCGTGAGACATCCTGAAAACAATGTGCATATGAAGATAAAATATGAGGAAAGCAAATAAACCAGAAACAATTAAAAGGAAAGACAAATACAAAAGGACACTCCATGGCTTTTTCTGCTGCACAGCCACAATGCCAGTTTAAAACGGTAAACAAAAACGGACTCAAATAGGATTTTTATCATCAGAGAACTAAATCATTTGCATTTTCATCTCATGCAATATGCGCTGTAATACTAGATATCAAAATAGAAAAATATGAAATCATCTATCTAATAGAGACTTGGGTATCTATCTAATAGACTTGGGTATGGGGTGGGAGATCAAGCCACTATGTACTCCAAAGTGCGTACCATACCATGTGGAAGTTAAACACTTTGTAATACTCAAGTCCCTATCATAGCACTACCCTTCAGAGTTGATGTCCCAAACTACACTTTACTTGGCCTTTTTGTCTGCTTCTTCATAGGTGGCCTAGAGACATTGACAACTAGATTTGACACCAATTATAATCACCCCAAGCACTTGGGGAACCCTACGTTAAAGATTATCCATTGTGGTTGTAGCGTCCAGGTCTCATAAACCACACTAGAATCCCATACTTATAACATGGGACTCAAGTCTATGCCTAGTAATTGGATCTAACATCCCACCATACTCTGTAGCCCCAACGTTCACGCCTCACACGAGTTGGGTGTGCACTAACCCTTTGACTAGTCCTAGATAAACACAAAAATAATGGTGTCACCACTCCTTTGCACATTAGTACCTTGTAGTACCTATCGTCACCCCTTGAGTTGATTTCTTAACTATGAGTACTTAATAATAACCTATCGTTAGAAAGACTTTCGATTCAGGAACCACTGTTACAGTTGGTCACCACACAAACTATCGTTACTAATACAACGGGACTTGCTTGCTTGACCTATCATCAAGAAGACTTTCAATCAGGACTCATTGATAGGTCTTTCGATAAGGGATTCGCCAAGGAGAGACAATAACAATAAGGCACGAGCCTTACCCACGTAAGGAATTGACACCACTTTTAACCCAAAACCTTAAGGCATTAGGTTATGGGTCTTTCTCATTTATAAATTACTCAAATTTCTCATTTCTACCCAATGTAAGACTTCAAACTCACATTTAAATTCACAACATCTTAGGAGATTCACATAAAAAAAGCTAGCTATCACCAAACATCTCATATTACTCAATAGGACTTAGTTACCCGGTAATACCCAAGTCTTTGTCACTATGATTCTAAATCGATCCTATCCACAAATGAGGTATGAATATACTTACAATGTCTACATCTGAGCTCAATGCTATAGATAATGCAGAAAACCATGGCGGCAAGTCAACTGCAGCAATGGAAAACATTAAAAGATGAGTAAGATCATCCATAAGTCATCAATACCTTACGCATTAGAAAATGAGCTGCTTTTAATATTTAATAGTTTGTAAAAAATAATGAAATAAAAACCATATAACTAACTGTATCCCCAAACCAGAAGGAAAGGAAACATTAGTTTCTTCAGTGATACTATGTCACCTCTGTTTCCATCTGAAACATAAAGAGTAAATTACACGAGGCTGATTTTTATCCCTTTCTTGCTTATAGGGATTCTAATGGTAGTAGTTAAATATGACAAATTCAAAGCATCACAAATTAGAGAACAAATGACAAACATCCCAATGAAACAAGATTGTATAGTCAATTTATGATTTTAACAATGCCAACTGTCTAAGGCTACACTGTTCAAATATTGTCATATATACACACTCTGAATTTCTATCAGAATGATTAATAGAAAAATGTAAGACTCCTAATTCAATAAAATCAACTCCTTCATAGCATATACAAATACAATACAACAGTTACATTGCTGCCAGGCTCCTAAATTTCCTTAGGTTTAATTCTTAGTTCTCACAGCCATCTTGTATATAAAATCAGACCAACAGTATAATTCTTAGAAATTAAGCAGCCAAAGTAAGATCAAAGGAAAGCATGAAGAGAGATTATTCTCCAATAAATGCACCTTTTCTTTGAGATCCAAATTGCAACCCATTATAATTTACGCTAAGATAGTGCTTCATTAACAACCAGACACAACAAAGGCAAATGATAATCTCTATGAACAAAAGGATCATTGCCAATAGGCTCACACACCTCTGATGTAGCGCAAATCAAAGGGCTTGAGCCTAGTCTCAGGGTACCTGAAGCTTGAAACAGTAAAGGTTTCACCTTGACCCCTGCCCACTTCATCATTTGCAGAGAAAAGGCCAAAGGAACAGGAAAAGAGCACCAAAATAGCGAGAACCAGATTGGGATGACACCATAGAATCAAATTGAATCCCATCTCTTTATCACTGTTGGTGTGAGTTTGCGGCAATTCTCAGATCATGGAGACGCCAGAAAGTGATTGACGCAAAAGGGTGTTAGTTGATTAATTAAATAATAACGAGAAATCTTTGTCAGTGGGGATGTTGTAAAGACAACTAGAAGGTGGGAGTTATGACTCAGGGCTATGTACTACTAAAAATAATCACATAATTGACATAAAATCTATGTTACGATGATGCTCTTTTCTTAGTTAAGTCTTGTTGGGTTGACTTGAGTTGAGGGGGCTAGACCTGGCTTACTCTGCCACCTGTGATGTTCTGTTTGGAATGTTGAGAACAGATAAAAATAACAGAAAAAGAAAACAGGAGAATATAATTAAGCATATATTCAGTAATAACTTTTTGTTCCAAAAAAACTTTTTTGATTAAAAAATTATTTTAGTTCTACAAAATTTATATATGTATATATTAGTTACTAGTGTTATGCTTATAATGTATAATTGTTTACGTTATTGCTATTTTTTTAATAAATTTCAGAATTATTTTTAATGTAAAAAGTATATAAATATTTAAAATACATAAATATCACTATGAATTATAAAAGTATGGTATTAATTATTCTAAATAGGTTTATTTAATAGATAAATCATTATATGAGTATCTTAATCCTTATTTCACCAAGGTTACTTTACAATATAGTTTCAACTTTTCATTTCGTAACGTGGTGTAAACGGATTTAACCCAATAAAAATAGAAAAAAAATATTTAAAAAGTTGAAGATAGAATAAATTTAAAAATCATTTTTTTTTATTGGATTGCATCAAAGTTTCATAAGATGTGTATCTTAATTAAGTAATCTAAATATAGACTTTTCAAAATGAAATGATGTAATATGTTTTTGCATTCTCTTATTCTATATATTAACCTCATTATCGGACACTTACGTACATGTAATCATATATTATTGTTTATTTTAAACAACATAAGACCCTCATTTTTTTGGTCGTAGATGAATGGTAGCCAAAATTAGAATAATATACTGGTATACCATTTTTTTATTAAGCACAATCATATAAACATTAGTCCTGAATATTATAAAATAAAAATGCTATTAGTGTTTGATTATTTTAATTTAATTAATTTTTAAAATAATTTTAATGTAAAGATTTTTAATATCATGATTATCATATTATAAATATATTAAAATTATAAGAATTATTTTAGAGTTATTAAAATTAATTCTTCTTCTTCTCGGTAATATAGTATTTTAATAAATCTTTTAAATATTACCTAAAAATTATATGATAGTTTATTTGATGTAAGATTAAAAGTTATATTTCTAAACAATATAAGGTAAGTGACTTTAATAGAAGAAGAATGGTATTGGATACATTTTATATCATAAAAAAATCATAAAAGAAAATAAGAGAAGGAAAAGTACCCATCAAAAAATCTTTTGCAATGGATTCAGGTAAATTTTTTAACATTTTTAATAATATATTTGTGAGAATCATAAATCTTAAGATTCTTATAAAATAGAATAGTTTCTTAAATTGAATTAGAATATTTAAAATTACAAGTTTACTTTGGTATCGAGCCATATTAGAAATTTATGATTCTTCGTAAATGATGTTTTCCCCAAATTATAGAAACTCTAATTTGAAATTATGAAATTTAGGGATTTTATTCCTGAAATATGGTAAGTTGTAATTACAATTAGAATTGAATTGATAGATAATTTGCAATAAAAGCTTTAAATTGAGAAAAATATGTTCACTCTATATATATATATATATATATATATATATATATATATATATATATATATATATATATATATATATATATATATTTATTTATTTTTTTTTTGGGTAGTGGAATATTGTTTTAATTTAGGAATTATTTGTATAGTAAATTTTTAATCACCAAAATGATTAAATTTTATACTTTAATTAATTCTAAAGTAAAGTTGAATTATGTCAATTACTCTTAAAACAAAGAATGTTGAATTATGCATATGTTAATTGGTTTATGAGTTAATTGAAATTTATTGTTATAAGGCATTTCTAGATTACCCAAAGATGAATCATTCCTTATAATTAATAATATAAATGATTTATTTTCATTTGATTGTATGTCTATCCAAAGATGTCATACATGCTAAAAATAATATAGTTTATTATCCATTAAAAAATATGTTATGAAAATTGAGTGTATTTAAAGTAAAGTA